AAATTGGACAGAATCCAGAGAAGAGCGACAAAAATGATTAAAGTCCAGAAAACATGACCTATGAGGGAAGACTGAACAAAATTGGGTTTGTTTAGTCTGGAAAAGAGAAGACTGAGAGGGGACATGATAACAGTTTTCAAGTATGTAAAAGGTTGAGGAAGAAAAATGTTTTTTCTTAACCGCTGAGGATAGGACAAGAAGTAATGGGCTTTAATTGCAGCAAGGGAGGTTTAGGTTTGACATTAGGAAAAACTTCCTGTCAGGGTGGTTAAGCTCTGGAAAAAATTGCCTAGGAAGGTTGTGAAATCTCTGTCATTGGAGATTTTTAAGAGCAAGTTAGACACAAACCTGTCAGGAATGGCCTAGATAATACTTAGTCCTGTCACAAGTGCAGGTGATTGGACTTGATGACCTCTCGAGGTCCCTTCCAGTCCTATGATTGTATGATTTTTGTTTGTTTGCTTGTTTTTAAAATGAATTTTAGGGAATTTGAAAGGTCTTGAGAACACTCTAGTGGCTGAGAAAGGAAATGACAAATTAGCTTTAAAGGGCTTCTGCTGAAAGATTTAGAAGGAATCATAGATAGTGGGAAAGTTCCATGATTCCCACCAACAGGTGACACTTTTGAAAATAAATACCCACTAACTGCTCTTGTCAATTTAATTGTCTATAAACCATCATGAACACCTCTGGCTCAAAAAACATGGGGCTAGATTGAGCCTTTAGTCTTAGTACTGTGTAAAGAGTGGCACATAGCCATGCCTCCCCAAGAAGAGCAGTAGAAAGGATTGTGACTCAGTTCACTCCTTTCCCAGGAAAAGGAGTAAATTGCTCCCCACACCTCATGCCTAGACAGATGAACATGGGATGGAGCTACGCCTTTGCCTGCTCTCCACCCCACTATTCACATAAGAAGGGAGAATCCTGACAGCACTACTGTGGTCACAAAGATAGGTGGTGGGAAGTGTAATTCTCCAATCCAATTGCATCAGGACTAGAGACAATCTGACCTAAAAAAAGTAATCATGCAGGAACATAGGAACTGCCATACTGAATCAGACCAATGGTCCAACTAACCCGGTATCAAGTCTCTAACAGAGGCTGCTTCAGAAGAAGGTGAAAGAAACCTTGCAATAGGCAGTTTTGGGATAATCAGTCCAC